ATTCCGGACTGGAGGCTTCTAGAGCTTAAGTAGCTCTTCTCCAAAAAGTGCAACTATAATTATTATCAAAAATCTGTCTAGTTTTTACTACTAAATCTAGTCTTTAGTATGCGGTTTAGAAACTATTGTCATCGTGTGCTATTGTGTAGAAGCCTATCTGGCATGTCTATAGTCAGCTTGCATTTTAAGCTCCTTTATGAGCTGGGACTCTAAATATTTAAACGACAGATGATAGAAAACTATCCTCAGCTCATCAGGCACTCACATCAGATTGCGGTGGTCGTCGACCCAGGTGACACTTAGGCCAAAGCCATGTTAAGCCAAAGGCAAGTCAAATATTTGCTGAGAGCTCGGAGACAAAGAACCCGAATCTGGATCTCCGTCTCTATCTGGGCTAATGCCTGGCTGAGCGGCCTTAGGAGGGCCGGCCGCTGAGCCGGCCTCCACCTGGGGAAGCTTTAAGCCAAATATTCGCCGTAAAACAAATGCGAAATGCCAAGAAGCCTCGGCTAGGGCTCGGGCTAAGTGCAGTGTGTAACTGCAGCACTCAACACAGACGGCTGCAAACTGATTAAATATCCGGGCCGCAAACGGCGGAACGGAAACGAAACGAAAGCAACTGAATCCACGGCTCAGCTGTACACTCAGTGTAATGCGAATTCATGTAGGGAAATGTAATTTGAACGCCAAAACAAACAGCAGGCTGCGTAAGGGGGAGGATGCTTGGAGGACTGGTTTGAATGGCGGCCGGGAAGCACTGGCAGGATGCTGGGCAGGTGCCTGGGCTAAAAAACAAAAGCCGCCGTTGGATATTTGCTGTGGCAGTGCAGCAGAAACACCAGAAGGCCCAGAAACACCATCAGCAGCACCGGCAACGGCTACGGCAACTGTGGGGGCACAAAACAAAGCCTCGGTAAACAGCCGAGCAATGTGATTAAAAAATAAAGGAACACAGCACAACAATGGGAAATGGAGCACATTGCCAGGGCCTACACGAAGGAAAATGTCTAAAGTTTGGATTCTATACATTCAAAAACATCTGATAAAATCTATAAAAGTTTAGAGTTTTGCCTAACAAAAAATATATACAAATGATAGAGGTTTATAAGAGTTAGATCGAGTTATTCCTTCTTAGAAAAAGACTATATTAATTACTTTAAAGACTTAGGGATTCAATAGTTTACAAAAGTCTATTTTAAAATATAGAATAAATTTATATAAAATATTAGAAAAAACCAAAATAATGTACAAAGTATGGTAAAGCTACCTGTTATTAGTTTTTTTCATAAATCTTTAATCATTGACTTTTTAAAGAAACCAGATCTACTTAGAAATGCCACACTTGAAGAAAGTATATAATTTTAAACAATGACTTCTTTTAGAGTTACAAATTATAGAGACAGACTTGTATATTATAAGATCATCTTCCAAAATAATCAGAGAAAAAAAGTATTAATTCCCAGTCAAATTTTTGTTCTCTGTATTTTATAGTTTAAAGCTTTGCTGTTGGGAGGACTCACCTCGTAGCGTGTGTCGATTTCGGGCAACTTCTCCAGGAACTCCTCAACCATCTTTCGTTGCACGTGCGCCGAGCCGAGCAATCACACACATACACACTAGTCCTCACGCACCCACACACACTCACAAGCAGGCACACACACTCGCAGGAGTCAAGCAGACACAGATACAAATCCTAATAAGAATCCGAATAAGTCGACACGCACCAAATGAAAGTTCTCCTCATCAATTATGGACAACTACTAATTGCTCCTGATAGATTTAATTATTTTGTTGGTTCTCGTTTTTGTGAAAAAAGTTAAAGCTGAAACACCTGTTGGGTTTTTTTCCTTTTATTTTTTAAGTTTTAGTTTTAAGTTTTTGTTGGGAAATTCGTAGGTTGCTGTCCTTCTTGTAGTTTGTGGTATCTGGATCCTCTGTTTGGGTTTTTATTTTGTGGTTGTCTTAACTAAACTAAGGTTTTTGCACTTTCCGTTGTTGTCTTTTGTGATTGTCTCGAGCCCCTCGAAGAGGGGGTGGGGGAGTCCTGGTCACTTGGCACTTGTTTTGGGCGCTATTTTTAGCCCCGAGTCAGACACTGGCACACTCACACACACTGGGAAGCGCAGAGGCAAACTAGGCGAAGATACAAAGATACAATTTGGGAAGGCGAGCGAAAAGGAAGCTGAAGCGAGTGAGTCCTGGCCAGGCCAAACTCCTGGATCCTCGTGTGTGTGCGAGAGACCAACCAACCAACAAACGCTGCCCGTTCACTGCCGTTCAGCACTAACAACAAACTGCAGAAAAACAAAACATTTATAGCCAGGCCAGGAACGCACGAGCCCGAGTCCTCCGCAACTCGACTCGATTCGACTCGACTCGAATCGCCGAGGCCCGAGGACCCGAGATGCTGTTCTAAAAACTGGCCAACAGCGCCCCAGCGGGTTCGACAGCTGCCGAGCCGCCCCATCACTTCATCATATCGCAGCCGAGATGCCGATGCTGGCCGATATTAAAAAAAAAGTTCAGCCCGCTTTTAGGCGCCGGCGCGAGGCAGCTGAAAGGGGCAGCTTGGCACTCCTCGCGGCCTCCGACTCTCCTCCTGCTCTAATGTCCTGTGTGTATCAGGAAGGACGACTCCCCCCCGCAACTTGACACACATCCTCGGAACGACTCTTCGGGAGCTTGCAGTCCAACATGGAGGGACAAACAGCATCCGCATTTGGATCGCATTCGAGTGGAGCGGCGGCGAGTGGCAAGTGCCGAGTGGAGTTGCCGTTGCATGTTGCATGTTAGGTTGTTCACAGAGCTTGTCTTTGTTTTGCCTGCACTTGTAAATAATTTGCAGCTAACGAAGGCGGCGCCACTCAAAGAAGTCTCCTTCGCTCTGAAGGGTCCTCCTCTGTCCCGCCATAGCCATAGCTGCTCCTCCGTGTGCTGTTCCTGCCACCGCCTCGATATCCTGCCAAATGGAATGTTGCAGGAGCGTGTGTCTGAGGCAAGCAGTTATCATTAATCTCGGCCCCCGCCATTGATTTCTGTCGGCAGGTCGTGTTTTCCTAGCAATTACCACCATAGCCACCCGAGGGAAAATAAATACGGACCGTCAAATTTTACGCCAGGGACCTAGACAATAATGACCCACTAATATGGCTAGGAGAAGTACCTCTCAGTAGGTATGGGTCTTGAGAAAATTATTATTTGTACGTCCTGAAAGGACTTATTAAGGGATATCTTAGGTAAGTTATAATAGAATACCTTATACCTAGAACACGAGACTTTTATAAAGTAATAAATTCTGGAAATAAATTAATCATTTTTTAAAACTCCAATCTCATTTAGAAATCCTTGTGAAAGGATACCATTTTAGTTCTTTAATATACCATAAGAATTATCCTTATTACGAAGAGATGAACTACCATATATTAGTGGTCTTTGGTCTAACATCTTGTAGAAATGGCATTATTTTTATTATAATCTTTTAAATAATGAAGGAAACTTTAAGAAAAATATTTTTTAAAAATAAATTGTTTTTAAGTTCTTCACCTCTTTTATTATTTATATAAAAGTCGGGGACTGAAATTAATGATTGTTGTTTTTATTTAAAAAATCTCAAAATAATCAATATTCTCTGAGCGAAAAAATAAAAATCATAAATAAACATTATGTTTTATTTACCTTTTTTTTTGCTCCAAAATATCACTCAATTTATGATTGCGGACTGTTCATTAAATTTACTAGATATTTTATAAAATACCTTCTTGAACTACGTATACAGGTACAATTTAGTACCATGATTTTTTCACTATCACCCCTCCGTACCACTCCAATCACCTAAGAATCTTTTTATTAAAAATGTTTAATTTAATTTTTTAATTTTTCTCCCTAACTTTGATTACTGATTGCACTCTATTGAACAATCATTTTCAATTAAACCTTTCAATGGCTTCCCTATTGACACAATTTCTGTGGGTCGAGGCACTTACCGAACCCACTGCCGCCATAGATGACCGTTGTCCTGTCGGTACTTAACGCTTAATATTTAATGAGAAAAATGAACTGCGACCGTACCCGCTGGCCGGCCGAGAAGCACTGAACGCCGAAAGGAACGCTCGGCTAATCAAAGTAGCGAAATGTCGGACGGGGTGATGCAACAATTGGCTACCCACACACACGTCATCAAGGGTCCTGCCGCCTTTGACCCTTTCCGCCCCCTCCGACACCCTCCGGCAATGTCAAAGTCAATCGCCGGGCGTGGGAATAAAAACAATTAGTTGTCACTGGCAGTCGATTCGGGCCGCCGCTCGATTCGGTCACTACTGCTAATCCCCCGCAGCCCTAAAAATAGGTTTCCACTTCAGAAAACCGAATTGTGCGCAATTTGTACGTGGCGTTTTAAATTCGAGTGCACGGTGGCAATTTTAAGGTCCTTGAGCGCAGCTGTCGAAATGGGTTTTGGTTCCACATTCGCATTGAATTATTTACACGGCATACAGGTGAAATGGCGGAGGTGCGGGCAGGTATTGTCCTGGTCAAGTGCAAATATGACAATCCGTATTGAAAGCTTTAAATTATTCACAAAAGTTGTACCGCCAATGTACTTTCAAATTTGGCGCTGCGGGCAAAGCAGTGCAAGCAGTTCTCTTAGGGATGGCATTTGGTAATAGGGATGATAGTGTAAAGCGCCACCTAGCGGCAGGCGGCCCAACTAAGGCCAAAACTATTGAAAACATTTATTTCCGTTTGTTATTTGTATTTTGAAATGACTTCATATAATTTCTGACAAACTTGAACATTTAATTAATTTCATTACACATTTATAAATTTCATTTGTTACAATTTTCGTTCGTTCATCGTTCAGCGCTTAGCATACCATTATCTTGTTCTGCCTTTTGATATTTCATGTTAACGTTCCTGGCTTTACTGTTCCCACTTATGTCATATATTTCTTTTTTCGTTTTTAATTTATTAAATGTATCCGTATAAATGTATGAATATGCGACTCTAGATTTAAATTTATAGATTGGCTTGGTTTCCACGGAATTACGAGAATAAAAAGGGGAGTATCGGATAGCTACAAAATACAAGTTCTCTATGGGACTCACAATACAAAAAAGTACAATATCGTGTAAGCATCCATCGTATAACTTTTGTTAATATCTACCCTCTAGGTTCGTCCTTTGTCATGCGGGTTTCCATATTTGGTTTGGTTATATCCAGTATATTCTCTAGGTTTATCATCTCGATCATTAAGTACTTTGTAGATTTCTTACGCTATAAGAGTTGTGCTTAAGGTTAGGACGCCCTCGCATCATGGTGTATTCAGTGTGTTTGGTTGGTGAGCGACTCGCATTGGATGTACAGTACATGGCTATCGTTATAATCCTTAGGTTAGTTACCGTTCATATGATACGAATGATTGTAGGCAGGTGGTTGGTGGTTCACTTGACTTGCAATGTTCCTTCTGTTATTTTATGTTCGTCCTGTCCCCACGGACTCTCTCGACAAAAATGCTACCTAAGATTAATCAGTTAACATTACAGATAGCTACAAAATAGGACCTAAGCTTAACGAAACCCTAAACTGAACAGCCAAATAAACTAAACGTATCTCAGATCTAGTTGCCAGTCAAACTAGCTGATGCCCCGGCTCGTCGGCGACGGCGACCTCGAAATGTTTGCGGAAGAGAAGGATGCTGATGCGGATGCGGAGGATGGCGTGGTCAGCGTGTAGTTGCTCTCCACTGTCATCTGCCAAAGGGCCAGGCTCTCGTCCGGACGGATGCCGTCGCTGGTAAAGAGGAATGGCGGCTTATCCAGGTCAGTGCCGCCCTGGACCAGCTTGCGCACTGCTGCCGTATCCAGGTAGTACGTCAGCTTGGTGATCTTGGTGCCCGTGGCCTCGGTGAGGACGCCGGTAATGAGGACGTCGTCCACCCAGAAGTAGTTGGCCTTCTGGGCCGCCGCGTACAGCCGGCGCACCACCTCCGGCGAGTAGACGATGGCCAGGCCAGGGCAGTAGGGCGGATAGAAGCGGTGGGGGTACTCCTTGTAGGTCACCCTCCACTTTGACTGTTGGGAAGGCAATGGTTTAGTAATTGGGCATGGAAGTCTGGTCAGAATACTCACGCGATATGTGCGCTTCACCCTGGACTTCTTGACGGGCCGGCAGAGCAGAAGTTCCGGCTGGTGGAGGAGGGCGTGCTCCGGCAGGGTCGGATCCGTCAAGAACTTGACCAGCTGCGGCGTGTTTATGTAGACGTCGTCGTCCACCTTCACCATCAGCTGGGCCTGGGCGCAGTTCTCGGTGAACCACTTGAGCGCCATCACATGCTTGTAGGTCATGTTCCGGTAGGCGTCGTCGAAGTTGCCCTGCACGATGTCGCCGTGCAGAGTGCTCTCCCGCTCGACCCAGTGCTGCCAGTTCTCGGCCCCGGCCCCCACTCCGCCCAGCAGGAAGATGACCCGCAGGGGCGTCCGGTCGATGTAGCTGCGCTCCGCCCACGTCTGCCGGATGATCCGCCGCTTCTCGATGTTGGGTATCGCGGAGTGGACCAGCACCAGGGCCTGCACCCTCGGCTCGCAGGGCGGTTGGTCGATGATGTAGGCGAAGTTGGGAAGATCCATCAGGTGCATGCTGCTCTGCGGGGGGGTGGGCGTCTGGGGGGCCAACGACTGTGGCGGGGGCGCCGCCGGCCTCTCGAATGTGTTGCTAACTATGCTATCGTTAAAGCTAAGGTGAGTGCGACTAGGCTGGGTTATTTGGTTTGGATTGCTCCCGCTGCCGCTTCCGCTGCTGCCTCCGCTCTTGAGGCCTCTTCTCCTCTCACTCGCCGGCGGCGGCGGGGGGGAGCTGCTGCTGGCGCCTCTGCTACCGCCGCCGAGGGCAGCTGCCTCGGCCATCATCTCGGACTCCAGCAGCGGCGGCTGCTGCCAGCTGACCAGCCAGATGACCAGGCACATTTTGATGCAGATGACCAGCAGGCACAGCGATCGCTTGTCCATTCTAGCGGCTTTCTATTTCCGGACACCTCAGACGGAAGCGTTTCCTGCGTCCCGCGGCCATTTATTTCTGGATCCAAGTGGCTGAAACGGAACAGAATGGAGAACGGGTTATAGAAACGTTATCCAAAAGTCCCCCTCCAGCTAGACTCTAACAAAGTGCACCACTTATCGCTCCCGAGTGGACAATGAATTTTGCATTAGGATAATTATGGGAGTGGATGTCAACAGGTGAGGTCGCGGGCTGACCTGCGAGCAGATGACCCCCACTGACGTCACGTAATCGATGCCGCCAATACACACCTGACATGGTTCCCTCCAAAAATTTTCACCGAAAACAGAGCAGGGGCTGATGGGTTGATGGGCAGCGAGTGGCTCGGAAAAGTGAACTAAAGGGTTGCCGCCAACTAGGCAGCCACGGAACCGGAGGAGATAAGCCCGAATGATTGATTTGTGGCCCGATCGGGCTGCCGATATCGATAAGGAAGATAAGGGAGTACCTGGAATCCGGGCACAAGAACTTGTGACAGTTGATTCGGTGACGTAGTGCGACAAGTGTACTGTAGTTATAGAAAGTTAAACAAATTAATGTTATTGGCCAACAAAGCTGTTCTAATGCCTAATTGAAGCCCCATCGATCGCCAGATAGGAGTCTTCTGATAATGGTTCTTAAGGGGGATTTTCTTGGGCAGCACAGAGAATCAACAAATATTTGGAGAGCGGAGTGGGGAGCCTTCGAGACCTTCTAGAATCTAGATTAAACACATTACCAGACCCCATCGATCGTTAATGGTTCTACAATTGCGCTAATAATCATTACTGCCCATTTTTTATGGAGAGTGGAAGAGTGGAAGTCTATATTCATTTATTGTTTAGGCCATGGTGCAATATCTACAAGGTGGTCTCTTCGACAAATATGTGTAGTCTGTTACCAAAATGACAGTTTGTGGGTGAAACAGTGTTGACTAACTAGTGTGCGGTTAACCCTTAAACGGTGACAAGTTCGGCTCCTATAATAAAAACAAAAACAACATTTTTTATACTTGTTCTCCATTGGTTAACCTGACTGGGGCTTAATTTATACTCTATTTAAATATATAATATTGTATTATAATAATGTATATAAAATATTTTTAAGAAACTTCCTTGCCCTAAACTTCCTTCAAACTTTGCATTTGAAATGCTAATCTTTTGAGGTGTTTTACTTAAGAATAGGTGGATAATTGACAAAGATATGGACTTGTCTGGTAGCCATATATGCAAATCCTGATTCTTTGAAGGGTGTTCTTCAGAGTAATATTGCATTTATGCATAAAAATACCATACATAATGTTTTTCATATGCTTCCTTAATTCAATTTTTATTTATTTTAAATTCCAAAGTATTCTCTGTTTAAGTTTTTTCGCACAAAATGTTTAAAATGAAATAAACTATATATTTTTATAGAAGTATTGATAGGTGGTATCTGGTGCAATAATTTTATTATAATCTATGACAGTGAGGGGCATTCTTTGCTCGAGCTCTTCCGCACACACACAGTATAAACGTATAAAACGTGATGCTCGCAGCCTAATTTCTGCTAATTGTTATCAATACTAATTTATTAAAATTATGTCAATGTATTGTGTGCCCACCACTGATCTATGGTATTGCATAGCCAGGTTTTGTTGCTCCACTTTTATCTGGCAACAAAAATGGAATATAGTGTTTTTTTCACACACTGTAAGGATTAAATATTTTTAAAAATTGTTTGTCAAATCACTTTACACTTTACAACACTGGATGTTAAAGGACCAAAAATGATCGAAGTGTCAACGAAGAGACTACCATATGGTTACTGTATCAAACATACTGTAGTTTAGCGATTAAACTTTAGGCTACAACTGTCTTTGAAAAAGGGAAGTAATATTTCGAAACTACTATCTACTAAGAGTTGGTTTATCTCTAGAGTGTTTTTCAGTCACGATTTCGAGTATAATATAATATGTTTTTTACACTTTCTGATATGGTCCCCATTCTCATGTCCAATAAGGCCACCGGGAACGCACTTGGAGCGATGGTGATAGTCAGACAAAGGCGAGAGTCGCCAAAAGAATCGAAAAGTCTGTCGAGACTGTCACGTACCCGCCGGATGCGAACATCGCCTGCCACCCAAGTGAACTGAAGTGCGCCGTTCAGAACCGAGTCTAGCCTTACACCTTAATGATTGTTATGGCACGAGACTTTGTTAACTAACCCGATAAGATAGGGCATCAAGAGGAATAGTGATAAGATTAAACGGCTATCGATTGTCCGAGTTTCATGAGTTTAAGCGAACTAACCTCTTAACTAACTAAACCACTGGGGATAGTCTTTAAAAGTCAATACTTTTTCGAAAAAGATGAGCTATTTTGGAAGTTAGACCTTCTCCTAAGTAAACTATACCTAGTTTGATAGGAAAGTAAATAGAATTTTGTTTTTAGGCGGCAGTGTGAGTTATGGAAGTCCGAGCAACTTAAATATTTAATTACAGCGATAGGGAGCGGGGAACAGAGCCGGAACACGAGGACGGGCCGGCACGAAACGCTATAAAATTTTTATATTCATGTAAATTCCCCGCCAAAGTCAATGCAGACACGGTTAATGTAAAAGAGCTGTACGGTGGGGCTGCAGCTCCGCCTCATGGTTGGTGGCCGCCAGGCACGCAATCGTCCTGTTCGTCCTCAACAAGCTCCCGAAGATGGCAGCCCTGATAGGGAGACCAGGACCCGGGGCGGATGCAAAGGCCTCGAGATATGCAAAAACTAATTACCAGCGAGCCTCTGACCTTTGCAGCCCGAAGACAGGCTCTAAGTTGGCTGCCAGCGAAGGCCAACTTGGAAGGCAAAAATAGTGCAAGTTTCGGGGCAAGTGGGTGGTTCCAACAGTTCTCAAAGGGCTCTAGCTATGGAAATAAATAATTGAGATGGTTCCCCACCGAATGCTTTCATTAATTGTGTTCAGGTCATGGCATGATAACAGTTCTTTCCCAATTATACAATTGCCCTTTGACCCAAATAGGGGCTTGATATCAAGTGCCTCTGCTGGGCGATAGGGGCTTGCTTGGAACTCTACTCACACCCCTCGCCAACTTTGAAAAATAAGCCTAGACTTTATTGGAATTTGGATTCGGGGATGGGACCCTTGCCAGCTCTGGCATTTCGCAGTCGATAAAATGCCAAACGGCAGTGCCGAGCAACTTTTTCAAGTCGAAGGTTACATTTTATCGGGGTCTGAATGGCCCGCAAAAACATCAGCCAGCACACCAGATATATCTCTATATATATGGACGAGTAGAATGGCCTGCCATTCAGTTGAGGCGGGGAGAGGCGTCTTCTATTGTTTATCGAGGCTCTGATTAGTTGGAGAGACACCACCGGTGCAGTGTCAGTGGCAGTGGCGGAGGAATTGTTTTCGTTGAACGGCAGCAGGTTGGCATGGCGAATACTTGGCTGCTGGCCAAAAACACTTTGAATGGCTGCCTGTCGGGCTGTCTCCCACTTGGTACACTGCACAAGTGCCGGAGAAAGGCAACTTTCACGTGGAGTATGCCTCCAAACAGGCCGCTTGAAATTAAACAAAAGTATTACCTTTAAATATCAATTCAAGAACATTTGTTTCCAACAAATAAATATTTATGAGAGGCCTCTGAAGCTCAGACTCTAGCTGGGCGGGTAATTAGACGAGGCGGGTAATTGCCAGCCGAGTAAACAGCAATACTGGCCAGTAAGTTGCGAAGCCAATTGCATAATTGACTGCCAGGTGGAGTTGCTCCAAAGTCCGATTCCAACTACGCACCAGTACTACCAGCACGGGCCATTAAAACTCACTCACTACACAGACTTCCAATCGAAAGTGTGGAAATGATTGGCAGTTTTTTAGAAAAGATATACTGGAGAGCTTGAGATGACTGGGCCAGATGGGTCTCTTGGATGTAAGTCGTTAGGCAGAGTGGGGAACTGACTTTTCAAAACCTGTTATTTAGGTTGGAAATTACATCTTAAATGCCTTCAACTGTTTTCTACAAGAAATAATTGTGTTTACATCTTTATTTAATTCGCAAGCTTAGATAATAAGCTTAGATTCAGACTCACGGGCTCATCAGAGTCTGTCTTTAGGTTCTAAGCAGGAAACTATTAGTCATCAAACAAGACAGGAAATCCCTTTCCCTTTAAAGAGAGGGATGGAATATACATCGCAAATAATAGATATAGTCGTCTGATCCTTAAGGGAATATTATTAACAAACCACTAATAGACCACAAAATAGGAGTTCTGTAGTAATTATCTGCGGAATCATGAAAACAATGACCTTTCCGATCGTTCTGGAACTATTCCGATCGTTCGTTTTCCCTTCAGCTATGGCATGATCACGACACAGACTTTCGTCACCCATAAAATCATAATCACACTATTATTTTTTTTTATTTTTATTATTTAATTCTTAATAAATTCGAAGCAAAAACAATGATGATACAGATGAATTCAAGGAGACTTAAGTTAAAAACAAAAACAACCTACATAAACTCAATGTTGCACGTTTCAAAAAGTTCTAATCGTCAAAATAATATTGATATTTTTTTCCAAAGAAGAGTATTCGAAATGACTTCCTGTACGCGGTTAGGCATGCTCTTTACCAAAATTTCAGGTTTATTTTTTAGGGATTCGTATCCATTCAGGTACAACACGCTTCAAAAGGTTGCCCCTGTTTGATGGAGCTGTTATATACTGCCCGAGCCGACTTTTTATGATTGACCCAAGATTTTCAATCGGATTGAGGTCGGGACTTTGTGCTCGTCCATTAATTTAAAAAGTTGCCTTCCAATCCATTCATTAACAGTTTCCGAAGTGTGCTTCGGATCCCCAGCTTGTTTCTTTTTCGAATAAGCACATTTTTCAATAAAAAATGTCTGAAATGAGGAGGAACTTACTCTAATAGGTACTTCTTTGGCTATCAACAAGAATGTTATATAGTATATAGTATATATAGAATATAGAATATAGGGGGATCCTTATCAAGAATATACATATACCCTTTATAGGCTCCTTAGAGACACCCTTTTCAGGAGTATAAAAAACAAACCAAGACTTAATAGGTCTCTTAAGGGGTTATACGCCATTGCGGCTCAAAAAACATGCTTTTTTAGAACTTTCTTAAGAAGAGAACTTCATGAACGGCTTCAATTTTTATTTACTTTAGTAGAAGATACTTTTTACAAGATAATAGCAAGCTCACCATGTAAAAATAGAGACCTCTAGAGATAGAGAAATTGTAAGAGACCTCTTTGAAAAAATAGGTGCTTTATGTTAAGGCATCGGGATGTCTTGGTGACTATTGTAAGTGGGAATACAAATTATGTTATAACTCCGCAAGTACTAATCCAACTGAGATACAATTTTCAAAGAATCTCCAAACATATATATAGATTATAACGAAATATAAATAAATACTTTGATTTCGTTAAAAAGCCAACTGCCTATAACCCCTCAAAGATCCCCAAGCAATTACAAACCAGTGCAAGGCTATTGTTTGAGAAAAAAACCGAAAAAAGTTGCCACAAATTGCAGCATGCAACTGCAGCCAGCTGGAGGCCTTAAATGTGTCACTGTAATAGCGCGGCATCTCAAGGACCGGGAGTGCGTTGCATGTGCCACTTGGCATCTTGTCGGCGTCACCAAATGGGAGTCAAGAGCTCAAGTTTTGAACAAAAAACCCGCCGCTGGGGGGCAAAACAAATGTCTCTCACATGTTGAGGGCTGTGCTTCTGTGTGTTTGGGTTGCATCCTTACATATCCTTACATATCTACTATGTATATGTATCTTATCTATGTGGGAGTCCTAGTGTAAACATGTCCCAGGAAACAGCACTGGGAGAAATATCTTACAGATCTTACTGATTCAATAATCTCAAGAGGCCATCTCATTGGAAATTCCTTCCTTAAATTTCAAGAAAATGCAGGAAAACCCGCCTACCAGCTGTTGGAAAATGTGAGTCAGCAAGGGAGTTGCCATTCCAGAGGTATCTGCTGCCAACATGCCGCAATTACAGCACGTTGGGCCCAGCTCTGCGGTCTGTGGGTGAGTCCCGCCAGCCGGGAAACTTTTTCCATTTCCATTTGCATTTATGTGGCACTGCCACTGCTAAGGAACGTGTGTTGCAAGTAGCAGGGGCAGGCTAAGCAACCAAGCCAGACAGATATTTAAGCGGCTTGGGGTGTGGGTGTGGGTGAGGTTGATATGAGGCAACAATGTACAACAAGGCAGGCAGCGGATGCGGATTCGGATGCAATCCGTGCAGCATGCCTCCGGCTGTGGCGCTGGCTTGCTTCGTTTTTATGGCGAAACCTTGGGCGTTGGCACACAGCGAGAGAAATCGATAGTACTTCAAGGTGGTCTATAAGTAATACAATATATATGTATATATATTTAAAAATAAACCTAATCTCTAGAATATATTGTCACTAAAATAACAAGAATCTTGAATCAGTTAGTCTGAAATATAATCTATAATATCCTTTATTATAGCTAGTAGAATTCCTCTCAGTGTACCAGCCACAGGCCCATAATTAACTCTTGCCCAGCAGCTGCAGTTGTGTGCCGGGCCTGGGCGGAAGGAGTTCCTGTTTCCAGCCAGAGACCCGAGTCCCGAGACCCAGAGGCACAAAGAGCATTACTCATAACCCAGAAGCCAGGCAGGAAGGAGCTGGAGCAGGAACGGGAACAGGAACTTCAGCCGAAGGAGCCAACAAAGCGAAGACAAATGCATTCGGTTTGATTGAAGGACATACAGGACTACCCACCGAGGACCGAGGTCTGAGGACTGAGGACTGAGTGACAAACCAGCGGGCTCGGCAAATTGCCAATTAAAAAGCCAACAGGGGGGTGGCTCGCAACGACAAATGCAAAATATAAGAACAGGATACACCCAGGACCCGCTGGAAGCCCGGCTCCTTAATGGGAACTTTATAGCCGTGGCCCAGGGTTGGTCACTCTCGCTCGCACGCTAAATTATTTATGAATACATTTTCCTCGGCTGCGTATGAAAATTTAATTACGCGCCTTTTGTTTACATTTTTACAGGCCGATGGGCCAACGGCCAACGACCAGTTCGCAGGCCAGTGGCAGTGGCCTGGCGAGGCATCTAAACGGGTTCCAGGCACGCACTCCACGAATGCTTTCATCAAAGGGGGAAGAGGAGAGGTGTGAGTTGAAAGCCCGCAATCACAGTTGTAATATCTTAATTACTCAGAAAAGGTTTTAAAATTAAAAAAAAAAACATTTTAAAATTTAATAAATGCAAACTAAACTTAGCAAAAATTGAAAATGGTACAGCTGTTCTAAGTATTTCCATAATCTTCCATTAACTCTTCCATCCTTTAACTCTCGGATCTATTCCCTCTTTCTAGCCGTACAATATGCGCCAGCGTCTTTCCTTATAAAGTGGTAGAAAGCCTGATAAGGGGCTTCATTTTGTATTTTGTATTATACTATACATACATGCATTCCGATTTGGGTTTCCGAAAAAAAAACGTTGATAATGCAAATCTGAACAAAAAGAAAAGAATAAAGAAAGAATTTCAACACCACAGAGGCACTCCAGAATGCAAATTAAAAAAATAAATTTCATGATTCATAAATTTCAACAAACAAACATAGATACATATATACATACAATTGACAATTGGTGCGATATGTTCTTACATCCATATACATATATACATATATGTACATATAACAGATATGTGTTCATATATTGTTCTTCAAGAAGCATTTCTTGATTCCCATATGTTGGCATATGCAAATATTTGCTGATCTTAAATTAGTTGGAATTTTATGGACTTTATGAAGTGATAAAAAAATAAATATTCTATATATGAAAATATATCTTCCAGTGGCAGTCTTCATATACATGTATATCTTCATACATGTCTTTCTTTATTATTAAAATAAATAAACCATTTAATTATGAATTTAATATTTAATCTTCTACAAAAATTACTCCCATTACTCCTATTTACTTAAAGAGTATATGTTTTTCTGACATGCAAATTTTAAACACGAAATGTAGGTTGCAGCCCACTGTCTATACAATGGGCCATATCATATAACAATAAATACTATCCTAAAAAAAGGTGTTACTTTTCAAAAGGAGCGTTTATTTACGTCAGATTTTGCCAAAAAAAAATGTCATAAAGTAGATACAACACATAAGCTCATAAAATTAATTAAAAATACAAATTTTAAAAAATTTTCCAAAAAGGTTCCGATTCTTCATTGCGATTAGCAGCGGACCTGAGTTCGATCTGAAAGCGAGGTGAGCTTACCGCTGACGGGAGTAAAAGAGAAAGCAAAAAGCTTCGGGGGCTGACGTCGACGGGGAGTATCTGTATCTTTGGGGTCAGTGTACGGCCCAGTAAGGTGGCACGACAGTGGGCCACGAAGAGGATAAGCGAGAAGGTGGCCAAAAGGAAAAGGCAGACAGCAAACAGAAAAAGAGCCATTAATTGCGACAGCAAGTGGCAGAAATATTGAAACTCTTCCAGCAGATAAACTTCCACGCTGAAAGTGACGGCGAGGGAGGAGGAGGAAGCTTCCCGCGGAAGCTGCTGGGAGAAGTTGATAAAAAAAAAACCGAGCTTTGGGGGCGAGCATGTGATTGAAAACTAAAGCATTTCAATTACGTCAAACGCCGGAGAGTGGCTACACATAGATATTAAAAAATTATCACAAAACCACGTCACTTTTTATATAATTTTATGAGAAATCTACACATAGACTGATATGAGGGTGGTCCCCACTGTGGGTAAATATTTTTGTTTAATTTCTGGTCTTTAGAGCCACTTCCCCCACTGTTTACTCTTCAATGGAAGCAGAAGAGTGGGCTCCACTGTCAGGCACATGGACACACGCCAGCAATCTTGAGCACCAGGTGGCGGCAGGGGTGGGGCGAACAGTGGAGCCGGCCGCCAAGGCGAAGAAGAAGCGGAAAAAGGCAGCGACAAGGAGCAGACAGCATGCGTGCCACTGTGCCTGAACTTGTTCAAGGTCAGTCCGTGTGACGCCTGTGACGATGGTGCGACATGCAAAAAAAAAAGCCAAAAAAAAAAAAGAAGAAAATAAAGAAGAGCACTCAACAACAGCAATCCCAGTTCCTTAATGAAGAGAGGCAAGAGAGCCGGAAGATACGGAGAGCGAGAGTGGGAGTGGAAGTGGAAGTGGGTGGTGGTTGAACGATGCTTGTTATCGCTGATAAGAAACGAAAAAGCGACGCGCGGATATGGTGATAAGAGGCGAGTGTCCTGGTTATGTGGGTGGCCCTCTTGAGAACTCACCTTCTGCTCTGCTGCCGGGCTGCTCCTCTTTCCCTTCGGTTGGCACATCAATTTCGAATGGAGACCGATTTTTCGTTTATCTGCCCGGCTTGTACTCACACCCTGGCACAAATTCCACCACCGTGTGTGAGATAAATTTAAATATATACAGCTGGGAACTTTTTTCGACCTTCGGTGCGTTTTTTTAATTAATTGCAAAAAAAGCGAAACACACACACACCGCTGCCTGGGCCGTGCAAACCGAAGTTGGAGAGTGGCGATAATTTAATGCACACGCGCGCATTTCATTTTGGCATCAATATTTCCATTGGCAGCTTTAATTTTATTCATTTTTTAACACAATTTCCAGCCGAGGGTGTAGCACGCACTCACACACTCGCGCAACCAGGAATGCACAAGATGATGGGGAAGAAGAAGAGGCCAAAGGATGCTGGGCCTTGGAATGTTTGCACTGCTTGCCAGCCAATTAATCCTCCTGGCTTCACCTTTAATTTTGTAAAATTTTATGGTCTGTTGTCGGCGTGGTTTGAGTTTATGTGTTCGCGAATATCTTATGGTTTTCGAAAAAACCAACGAAAACAAAAAAACAACCCGCCGCTAGCAAAGCAGCCACCCGCGCGCGAAGAAAAAAAACAACAACAGTTCGACAACAACAACTGTGGCTAGTGTGGCCATTCGAAGAATGGATAGTGTGGCCATGGGGTGGATACTTGATTTTTGGCATTGCATCCATGTTCAAATACTTAATTATCTAAGGATTCTTAAATAAATCAACATTACTTTATCTTCAAAACACAATTATTATTTTTTTTATTCTGAAAAGAATATACAAAGTTGTGCCCAGACAATAACAGGCAAGAAAGCGGTACAGCTGGTATTTTTTACACATTTTTCTTTGGTCACTCGAAAGGGGGAGCTCGAAACTTGTCACGATATATCGATAAGAATATCGAATTTAAAAATAAAGGCGGTAACTTTGAAAAAATTTCAGGAAAACTAAAGTAAGTTTAATAATTTAATGAATTTCAGTAATATCTTATATCTAATTTCAGTCTTTCATATTTATTTTCCTAGCATTGAGTATTTTTAACCTAAAGTTAAGGACAATAAGAATCTGTAAGATATTTTCAATAATCCTTTATTTTATTCTTGCGTTTTTTCATAAAATATTATATATAATACGTATGTCAGTGTGAATCTACTGCTACAGGGTTAGCTTATTATGTAAAGTGGCCACCGATATACAAGATATATAGGTAGTACATGAAATATTGACTAAGACAAGACTAAGCCTAGTGCTTTGATTATGATGAGTTGTTGTACATGAAAGCGATCACAATTGTCAGATGGAGGCGTGTGCGTTGACCTTAAGGATCTAACTTAGGGCTAGCATCTTTTAGGCACTTTTCGGTTTGCTGGTGCTCCTCAGCAGCAAGCTGGACAGATTGCTGAAGGGCAGTTCGAAGGCAAGGGAAAACAGGATGGAGGCCAGGTAGACGATGACTGCGAAGCCGCAGGTGACAACGCACTGGAGAAGGATAAAAAATGAGTAATATTTTTAGGATTAGTGCTTTGATATTATAGCTTGAAGTATTTATTTGAATGAGTAATAAAAGGAAAAGTAAGCTTCAATAATTATGATTATGTCTTGAGTTTAACTTAGTCAGGCTTGTAGATAACCATAATAATGAGCTCTCTTTAGAGTCCGAGAAATTATTGCATCATCTAACTATCATAACAATTAAATGAAAGGCAATAAGCAACTTTTATAGAGTGTTAAATCATAAGATGTGGTTATTACTAGTTATTAAAAATAATATGAATCTTTAATTTAATATCCAACTTACCAGCATAAAAGGATCTGCGTGCGTACTGGCGTTTGTCAAGCTGAAGAACAAGGCAATGACCAGTGGGTTGAGGAGGTAAATGGCATAGGAGAGCCTACTGACGTGCTGGAAGCCCTTGGCCTCCAGGAGTCGAGACCACCACACCCCCCGCCCCCGGGCACTGCCAGCAATCATCCAGCAAACGCTCAAGGAGAAGAAGAAGCGCCCGAAAACAAACAGGCTGATGGACATGAAGTATCCCAAATCGCGCTTCACGGTCGAGTAAATGCAAGCGAAGAACACGAACAATGCGAAATGCCAGCAGCAGCGCTCCTTGGGCTCACTCAGATCCACCTGGATCTTGTTTTTGGCCAGGCACCAGGCTGTGGCTGCTCCCAGGATATAGGGCAGGACTCGGACGAAGGGAGACGTGTAGATCTCAGTGCCGGTGGCAAAGGCAGCATCGAAGGAAAGCTGGAACTTAATGCTCAGGCCGATGCTGTAGGACCAGGCAATGGTGGCCACGAATAAAGAGGCCACAATGGATTTGGCTATCTTAGGATGCCTTAAAAAATATAAATAATAACAATATGTTTTAATTATAAAATATATCTCCACTACACTCACTTGACATATAGGAACAGCAGAGCATTGGCTAGGATGAAGAACTGCATTTCGCAGGCCAACGACCAGCTCCAGTTGGCGCACATATCCCGGTGATCGAACAGATTCTGGATGAAGAGCAGATTCCGCCACCAGTGACTGGAGCACATTTCGTCGAACCGCTCGTTGATGTGGTAAACGGAAACGTCTCCAATATAGGCATAGACCAGGTCCACAGTGGCCATCACCACTAGGTACAGAGGTCCCAAGCGGAGGTATCGGTGGAAGAGCAGCTTGCCAAAGAGCTTCAGATTCTGGCCAAAGCCATTGCGACGCACTGCCTCCAGTTGCTGAGAGTTTCGCAGAAAGTTGTAGGTTTGCAAGAAGCCACTGAAAATAAACACTTCTTTAACTTTTCTTTTAATTAAAATCGAAAATAAATACCTGATTGTGAAGAAGACATCGACCAGAAGAGGTGCCGAGGAAACGTACTGGAAAAACGCTTGCTCGGCGTAAGAAATTAGCACCGTCTTGTTGTGAACTGTGAAGTACATGAACCAGACCACATGGAAGACCATGATCCAGATGGCGCATACTGAACGCAGGCCGTTCATCAGAGGGATTTCGTTGGGACCGTTCTCGCGAACGGAGAATATTTTGGCCCAGTTGGCTGGCACATCCCAGCAGGGTACGAACTTCTGGAACTTCTCCCACTGCAACATGGAATGGAGGGCTCGCCACAGCTCTGATTCGGCGGGTGCCAGCCCCGGATCGGGCTCATCGGCTAAGGGCGCCAGCTTCTTGGACGCCGTAAGCTGCTGGGCACAGAGCATCAGGGCGCCCGTGGCTAGGATACAGGCCACCACCAGCCGGAAGCTGGCTCTCTCAAAGAAGGCCTCTTTTAGTTGAAGATCCTTCATGTAGACCACCTCCGGGCGGATGTCATAGATCTCGTTCTCTGCGAACATTCCGGCAGTGACATAGTCCTGTGCCAAGCTCATTACCTCCTCCGAGCTGCAGGAGCTGGGCAGGCACAGGCCGATGTGAATGATCTGCTCGGACATCAGCTTGATCTCCACCTGCCAGGGTGAGCTGTGGCGCAGGTATATGACCCGATAGTCCATGTCAAAAGGTGCTTGTTGTGTGATAATCCCATAGTGCATAACTCTGTCGAAGTTCTTTGAGAGGGTTATTCCGACGGGACGTTGAACCCCTCGACAGGCCTCCCTGCTGCCCAGCCAGTAGTTCTGGCCGTACACGAATCCGGAGGGCTTCGTTCCGGAGGCGTCCAAAACTGCGGGAAAAGCAATGCGAACTTTAATTTTAGGAAATTTCGATTGATTGCATTCGCTTTGATGTGTAAAGCTATTAAGTGTTTGTTTGTTAGTTGGACCCACGTGACGAGCGCCAGTTTAAATAGTGCCCGAATAATTTAAAATTAAGCAAATTTACGCAAGCGTTTCAGTTGACTAATCTTAAATGCCAACTGATAATTAGGGAGGGGGTCTATTGATCTTTTAATTACAATTGGCTTGTGAATCATACTCTGGGAGATTTTTTTTGTAATATTTTGTGTAATATTTTGTAATGAAGTGCACTGCAAAGTACAAGTTCCCTATGGATGCTGTTGATATAACAATCGAAAACTTGTTTGAAAAGTTTAATTAATAAAAGCAATAGAGGCTTCAGGTTTTAGTAAAAATTATAAATAATTTCCTAAAGATGCAATTGATATAACAATTGAATAGTTTTTTAAAAGGTTTAACTCTTTAAAGCTATAGGGGCTTTAGTTTTTAGTATAAAACACTATATTCTATAAAGCATCTATATATAATCCTTTTTATAAAAGAGGTTCAATGATCAAAGCAATAATAGCTTTAATTTTAGGTAAAACTAAGCTATTATTATAAACAACCTGAAGACTAAATATGGTTTCTATGATTAGGGGTACTTTTTAACCATTGAACAAAAGATAATATTAAAATTGTAAATATAGTGTTTCAAGTGATCGGATACGTGTTAAAAAAAATAAAGATTATAGTTTATGACCGATCCCTTGAAATCTTACACAGGAATACTCATATGGCACCACCACTTTGTAATTGTATGGAATAAAATCAATTTCGAAAAACGATTTCTTGGAGCACTACCTAATATTGTGGGGATGTTTTTAAAAAGCACCATGAAAAATATAATATATATGTATATTGTATTGTATTATATAATGATGCATATGGTATATTATAAACCATAAATTTTGTATAACAAATCTTGAATAATTATAAAAAATGCCCAAGTAATAAGGTCAGCTTTAAGAAATGAAAATTGTTAAAACCATTATTCCAACTTACCCTTCATGGCCCATGGCTGCTTGCCAAGTATGCCACGCTGCACTTGCCGCAACTGCGCGTGGCACTTCTGGCTAACGCTGCTCTCATTGGCCACTTTAGTTAGCCCAAATATGACCGAGGTGCGCGTTAAATGCTTCTCATGGGGCGAGCTAACAATTGCTGAGCTGGTGTCTGGCTCCAAAAGCGCTGGCTCTTCATCGGACAGCGATTGCGATGCATTGAGCTGATTCGGATAGTGCTGCTGGTGGTGCCAGGTCTGCGAGGTGGTCTGATTGCTGGCGCCCTTGGCCAAAACTCCAAAATCCACGGTGAGGCCGAGCAGCATCAGCAGTATCAGTGCCAGTACCGGACTCCAAGGCAGCGGGGTGCGCCTGATCTCCATGCTGCTGCCGTACTTAGATGCCTTGGCTTATTTACTATTTGTTGTTAGTACACGGTGGGTATTGTGCGCGTTTTTTGGACCGCGCGCTTGTTTGGCTATCTCAAATGGCTTGTTTGATTGCCGTTTGCCGAAGGTCGCCGCACCACGATTCACTCAGCTCGCTTCAGGCCACGCCTCCTCCCGTCACGCCTGCTCGTCTCTGGCCTGCGATCGAAATTGGTTAATGTTTGCCAATTGATTGGGAGAAACTTTCGTTAGCCATCGTTAGTCCCAAAAGCACGTTTTCAAAAGCATATGAGTGATTTCCCACTGACACACATAGTACACTCACGCACTCTCCCCTCTCTATCACCCTTGGGTCTTGGTTTTATGATTGCATTAGAATATTACGCATACGCAGTGTTGCCGGTTGAATAATATCTCTTTGCGGTTTAGGGATTTTTGTAAAAAAAATAAGAGATATATAATTGAAACTAAAGCTTCTCTTTTATTTAATCATAATATTCTTTTTTTGGGCAATTTGGCCTTGAAATGATTATAAAAAGATTTTAAAGTCTTGTACATTTTTTAATGTCGAAATTAGTAGATCCGCCAAAGATAATTATTTTTATTGACAAAATTTAATTATAATTTAAAACTTGTTATACTTTAAGGCTTTCGTTACTTCACTTTAACTTTAAAAGACTATTTCTTACAGTGCCTAAAAGAAAACAAATAAAAGAGACTCAGCCCACGGATAACACTGCGACTCCCTCCCTCTCCGCTTCTCACCTATCGATTTCGCTAGAATATTACGCATACGCCGGGTAAGACCATCACCGGCTGAGCTGCCACCGCACAGAGCAGAGATGCCGAAGCCAAACCGACAAAGTTATGCAATAATTAACATATAACACATGCGTTAATAATTTTGCATTTAATTGTGTGTTGATGGTGTGGTATCTGGCGGGTATCGCCACCAAAACAAACGGCTCAGGGGAGTAAAAGTTGATGAAACGCAGCAAAAAAGATAAACAAACCGAGACTCAACCCAATTCCGATGGGAGTGCGAGGCAGCCGGAGACTAAGGTTCAATTGATTGCCTGCGTTGCCGGGCGACGCGTTTGAGTTTTTGAGCTTCGATTTGAGTTGTTTTCGTGGTGGCGCCCTCGAGTGAGGTCTGCGCAGGTGTAAAGGCAGCCGGCAGAGACGCCTGCCGAGGCAGAGTCAGTTCAGTTCCATTGATTTCGAGCGGACGGACAACCGCTGACCACACACAATCGGTGGCTTGTTGTTGCCCTGCTGACGCCTTTCGTTTTCGCTTTGAGACACTCTCACACAGCCGGACTCACTCATACGTAATAATTCGCTGTTTATTGTTTATTATGACCAAAGGCCCGCGTAATCCAAATTAACGAACAAAAACGCGGCCATAGAATTAGGTGTTGGGGCACTGTGGCAGATTCAATTAGCGGATTGTACAGTTAGATAAGGGGCTAGTGGCGAGTTCTGATGGGGCTCTTATGGGGTGTTAAGTGGCAAGTTAAGAGCTTTTATAAAAAATAGGTTCATTTAAGAAGAAAAAGAGTTTATTGTCAGACATTATAATTTTAAGATTTTAATTTAAATGAAAATTTTTATCAAATAATTTAAATTTTCCATAAAATGTCCTAATTATTGGGACATTTTTTTGCTCTCTTTTTTAATAATTTTTTTTCATTGCAAATTACTTTTGCAATTAGTGCTACAAAGAACTTTCAAAACCCTAATCGGGAACACGCTTTTTTTCTCGCTGTGCACCACTAGCGTTTTTTGCTCGTTTTCTCGCTTTCCTAAGCGATCTTTTTGTTGGTTTTGCATAATTTAGAGGCTTAGAGGCTGCTTCTTTTGTGGCAAGCGCAGCGCGCGACGCCCATCGATGGATATGGACTTTGTCTATTGGGGAATTTCGAAATATGTTTGATCTGCATTTACATAACACCCATAAACACCGAAATACCGATACCGATACAGATACAGATACAGATACGAATTCCAAAATATTAAATTAGTGTGTGCGAAGAGTGCGGGAGAGAGTGAGGGCTCTCGATTGCGATGCGGATCCACCAACCTGATGGTGGATCGCCTATGGGATGCTGTTCCCAGGGTAGGTGCCTCCTATAAGAATCCAATTAACAAGTCTTGTTTGCCCAGAGCACAGAACACTCAAGATCTGCTTACTTAGATTTACGATGTTTAACTGATATTCTGTTATTTCAGCCGCCACAACTGGCTGAGTGCTTTTATTTCGCTTTTAGTGGCTTTATTTTCACTTTTTCCTACATTCCGCTTGTAGTTAAGATAACTTTTATTGAGACATTACTGAGATGAGATCCGCGTGTCTCTGATTTTTCTTTCAATTTTTTTTGTTGTTATTTGTAATTTATTTATTTTTTTTGGTTTTTTTAACCTGGACGTTAAACTTGGACTTGGACCGACTTTCGTTTTCGTTTCTTTCTTCAGCTGCTGGCTGATAAAACGCACTGCACAACAGATTAGCTGGCTGCTGACTACTTGCCTGCTTCTTTCTCTTTCGTGGCTTCTTTTGGCCTGGGTAAGGCCCTGCAACTGGCTGGTTGGCGACTCTTTTTTTTTCTGCTTTTCTGTTGTGTTGACGTTAACCGAATTTCGTTTTCATTTTTGCTTAAATTTTACGATGAGGGCCACGGCGACGGTGTCGGTGACGGCGACGCGTGCAACGTTTTGGAAACAACTGTGCGCCGCTGCATTTTGGCTCAAAGTTTTATAAACTTGGTCGCTGGTCAGTAGTGAGTCTACGAGCAGAGCGGTCAGCAGAGCCATCACCAGCAGCAGCCGAGAGATAAATCAACAATTGGAATTTCAGTCTCAAGATCAACAAAAGGCGAGAGTCTCTCGACTCCCTACGCGCCCGAGTCCGAGTTCGAATCCGAGTCCGAGTCTGAATCCGATCTCCAGCCCGCAATTGTCAGTGGACGCTTTTGCTTCCAATACCACTTCGGCTCTTAGCTTGTTCATTGCACGCACATTTTTTCTCGCTCTTTCTCTGCCTCTTACTGGCCATCTCTTTTTCGTCCGGTCAGACCCTTCAATCACTCAAAAACTCGAACAAACTGACGGTTTCTGAGGAATATTTGGCATTCCATAATTATGGTTTTTATTTCTTGATAATTTATATTTTTTTTAAATGGCCAGGTGCTTCTTTTTCCCTATAAAAGTTACAATTAATTACATCAGCTTAGGGTCTGTAGGTTAACCTGTATTTTGAGCCTTAAAATTGCATTTTAATTGGATTTATTTCGGTTATTTTAAGGCCTAAGGCCAACAGGTTTTCGATTTTTGAACGGAATTTTACTGAGATGGTAATAAAATAAATGATTATAATAAAAAGATGAAAGCCATAGGGGAACTATCGCAGTTAATTTTTTTTTTAAATTTATCTAGCATCAAGGTAGTCCTTAACATGCGTTTTATTGTTAAATTTATGATTATAATTAAGTTTTAATTCATTATTAAAATCGTTAGTCGAAAAACGAAAAATTTTCTGGAAATAATAAATATAGTATCTTCTGGAAAAACATTGTAAAACTAGCAATGGGTATAACAATCTTTAAATATATTACTTTATTTTCTCCATTATATTTGTATTTAATTTTTTATTTTTTTTTTTTAAAGAATACATTTTTGAAATCCTTGTATAATATTAAAGTTTAAAATTCCATTTGAAAAATAGCGGTCTTCTTTCCGAGGAAAGTTTTCATTCGATTCCGCCAGAGGTCGTTTGTAGAAAGCTCTCCCACACACCTGTCTTACACCTGAGAAAGCTTGAGCCAGGCTTGAAAGCCCACAAATTCGCTCTCCAAGATACATTCGCTCACCAATCTTCGGGTCGTTTCAAACATGTCTGGTAGAACGAGAGATAAATAGAAGATCCCATAAGCACCTCTCGATCGCGCCCATTGAAGCAATGATCGGCAGGCCAAGTTCGAAGCGAACTTAAAGCTTCAACAAAATGTATCTGTATCTGTAGAATATCAAGTCGTATCTGAGACTCAATTTCAAACTCACGCGCGCGCTCAACGAAGAAGCATCGAAGCACGGACATCCCCATCGAAAAGCGGGGCCGCGCATGCGAATTTCCGATCAACGCCCACCACCCCCCGCCGCCTCAACGAGTGCGAAAGAGAGACAGAGCGGGTGAGAGAGATAGAGCTAGAGAGAAAACTACGATCGTCACTTGCCAAACTCCAACAAAAAAATCCGTCGTGGGTGCTGGAATGAAACCGAAAAATACACGAAATTTTACCAAAAAGCTGTGTTTTCATACGAGTTAGTATTAAGTGCCAGTGTGTAGTGCCGTCGTGTGTGTAGTATATGGGCTAAAGAATATTATCGAGCGACAAGTGCAGAATGAAAATCATAAAAAAAACAACAGCAAAACAGGCAACAAGTTTTTTTGCGTAGAATTCAACGGCTACGGCGGCTACGACGGCGAAATTCCAAGTAAACAACAACAAGGTACCAATCGAAGCCTGTTGTGCGTTTTGCCGTTTTGTGTGATTTTTTTGTTATTATTGTTGCAACTCGTTTCGGCTTTAAGTTGTTGTTGTTTTTTGTCAAAGCCACGAAGCGGGTCAAATGCATAAATAAACAGGCGAAATGCGCTGTGAATGAAACGAAACGAGATGTTGTTATTATTTGGCCTGAAGCGAAATTAATTACACAGTGCATTGTCATTGCAAAAATTGTACCGCAGTATCTGTATCTCAATCTCAGTGAAGTTAACACGAAAGTTGCGGGTCGCATCTGCCTGATTTTCGGAGTATCGTCGTCCCGCTCAGACCCTCGCGTAGATCAGCCGAAAAAGCTCGGCCCAAACAAATGAGTGTATCTGATAGATGCGTTTGCCACCGAAGGAGCGCCTGTGGCAGCAACTAAGCCACTCTGGATCGCCAACACCAATGGCAGCTAAAGTGAGTAGTGACAATCCCCGAAATTCCGATTCAATCCATAAGCGAAAGTGCTGACCATCTGCATGGCGGCCCAAAGGTATCTAAGTATCTGACAAATCGGTTCTCACGACACACAAAGCCCAAGTACAAACACCGTGCTCAGACACCTTTGAACTTTAAAGCGGGAGAAGGAGAGTGCAAAATCAGCGTGTAACGGTGCCGCAGCCAAAACTTAAGCCAAAAGCAAACAGTCATCAATGAGCAATTGGCAAAAAAAACATAACACAACTAAGCCAACAAAAATAAAGAAAAATGCAGCAGCAAAAACGGTCCAAAACCGGGCCCAAAAAAAGGTTTTAGGCCAAAAACAACTGTTACAGCACCAGCATTGCACACGGCACGGTGGGACTGGGGCAGCGTTTTGTTTCCAGAATTTGCGAGAATTAACAGGGAAGAGGGTTTTTTTTAATGGAACTTAATTGTTTTTGGAATAAAGTAACCAGTTTAAAAACTTATTTACAAGGTTTTGTTTTATTAAGTAAAGTTGAGGAAAGCCCTTTTAAAATATCAGTATAATTATACTTGAATGAGCCTTCATGTAGTTTTTAGCTCGAAAGAATCACATTTAAAATAAATAATTTTCGGATATGCCCTTTGAGAATTCCACCATTTGCAAGAATGTTAATGTCACCCACTGTCCCCTACTGACTGCATTTACTGGCCATGTCTCTAACTGTAATGGACATAGACAGCCGTGTACCATGGCGCACTTGTCGCAAAACAGGTTTAATCTGGCACTGCTTGCTGGTTCTGTAGTTCGCCGAGTTTTTTTTTTATAATATTTTT